ACAGAGTTTTTAGTGCAATTCCACTACCGTCATCTCTGCATAATAGCGATTGATAGAGAACACATTTGTTAGGTTTCCAAAAAGAAATATATAACGAGTCTCTCAATGAGCACTCACTGGAAACTAATGAGTCTACTGCTTAATCATATACTCGATTGTTTAATCCAATCTGGGAACCTTTCCCTTCCTTAAAAAACCAAAACTTAAAGGAAAAAGCAAGAAAAGTACAAAATTGCCAGTAAAAGCATCTTGGATAGAATACCTAATAAAATGGCACCTATAACAGGATAAACAATAAAAGGTGACAAACCAGAAGGAGAAAATGTCATCCATACCTGTGTAATATATTCTGCCAGTTGTTTCCACCATGCCTAGTATGCTTCTTCTGGTGTAAATCCCTTGCATTTGGATCAACTTTGTTTGCTACTTCACCAACTGAAGCCATTTCCATCATTTTCTCAGCAAAATTATTTGCTTCTTTCTTGTTTCCCATCTTACCTAACCCATCTATCACAGGCATCAATGCTGCAGGGTCAAACCCATATCCTTTGTCTATCATCTTATGCAAAATTTCACTAGCTACTTCTAGCTCATCCTTCTTACATAAGCTCTCAATAAGATCTTTATAAAGAAAAGTCCCCAACTCGAAACCCCTATCTAAAACAGCTTCAAGCACTTCTGTAGCTTTTAAAAGTTGCCTTGCAGCTACCAACTCATTAAATATCAAGCTGTAAAGGGCTTCCTTTTGTCCACATATACTTGCAGCAGTCTCAAAGACTTCTTGAGCCATGTCAAAATCAGGGACCTTACAGAACGCTTCAATTAAATATTTGAAGGAAAATACATTTGGGGCTACGTTCTTTTGCATCATTTCATCTAAGAGGTTAGTTGCATCTTCAACTTCTCCTCCCTCACAGAGATACTTAATTGCAGTATTGTATGTGCAAATATTAGGTAAAATGCCCTTTTCTTTCATCTCATCCATCAGTCCATGAATTTCAAATATCTGATTTTTTATGCCTAAGCCCAGGATCAGAGCGTTATAAGTCTCTAGGCTCTTATGACAACCTTTCTTCTCCATCTCTTTAAGAACGCGAAATGCAGATGATAGTTTACCATGTTTGCAGAAATGATGGATGAAAATGTTGTATGCGACAGAGTCCGGTTGCAGTTTCTCTCCCATCATCTCAGCAAACAAGTTTTTTGCTTCACCAAACCTTCCAGCTTTGCACAAACCATTAAGTAAAGTTGAATACGTGATCAGGTCAGGCAAACAATTGTTCTCGATCAAGCTATCATCCACCAGTCCGATATATGAATTGCCTAGGTTTCCAAGAGCAGCACTTCCATGAACCCGCATTCCCTTAACTATCTCAATAGCTTTATCTAATTCCCCGCTTTCACAAAGTCCATCAATGATTATGTTGCAGGTGACAGTATCTAGCCCATAACCTTTTTCATTCATCTGTCGCAGCAACTCTTCTGCTTCAGATATTCTCCCCATCTTCCAAAGACTATGGAGCAAAATATTGCAAGTGTAAGCATTTGGTAAACAATTATTCCTCATCATCTCCTGCAACAAGCGTTTAGCTGCGTCAACTTTCCCAACACTGCAGTAACCATGTAGAAGGCAGCCATATGTTACAGCATCTGGGGAAACACCATTTTGTTTCATTAAACCAAATATAGTTTTTGCATCAGATAGCATGCCTAATTTGCACAATCCATCCATCAAGATATTGTAAGAGAAAATACTTGGCCCTATTCCCTTATCAATCATTTGCTTTAAGACTGTTTCAGCCTCTATAAACTTCCCATGCCTGACCAAACCCTGCAGCCAAATATTGTAACTCTGCAAACTAGCGAGCTCATCATTTTCTCTAATCGAATCAAAGAGGGTCTTGGCATCCTCCAGAAACCCTACCTTGCAGAATCCTTTCAGCATCAAGTTATATGTTATACTATTGGGACGAGGAAGACCAAGATACTCATCTAGCTCCATATCCCTGAAAATTCTAGACGCATCCAAAACCTTTCCTTCTTTACATAGCGCTGATATCCTAGAGTTAAAAGTTACAATATCAGGCACCAAACCTTCCTCTCGCATCTTTTCCACCAGCTTCTCTGATTCATCGTTCCTACCTTCCCTACAGAAGCTCGAGACGATGGTATTATACACAACTTTATTAGGCAAAATCCCAAAACTTTCCATTGAATTCAACAACTCTAATCCTTTATCAGACATACCAGCTTTACAATACCCACGAATCAAAATCCCAAAAGTAAACTCATTCGGCTTACAACCTTTCTCAGGCATTTCGTCGAACAACTCCCGAGCAGCATCCACACAACTTGAATCACACAAAGCACGGATCAAAAGATTAAACGTATAAGTCTGTGGAGCAATCCCACACAAAACCATATCTTTATACAACCACGAAACGAACTCCACACGTCTTTCTCTTATACAACTTTCAAGCAACACATTATACAAATAAATCCCAGGTTTTTTCTCAGGAAACCGCGACCGTACGAACTGAAACTGCGGAAACGCTTTATCAATGTAATTCGATTTCGCGAAGATCGAGACAACGGAGAGAAGAGATGAAAGTCTCGTCTTTTCGATTGACGAAGAGAGTATAAGATTGTGAATCTCTTCGATTTCGTCGTGCATTTTGGCTCGAACGAGTATACGAGCAATCGTCGGAGCCGCTGCTAAAGAGATTACATGGCTTTCTTCTGAAGGAGACGAAGATATCCTCTTGAAGATACTCCATGCTAATCTCGGATTGTTCGTGTTCTTCAACAAAGCTTTCACAAGTGTACCAGACTGTTCCATGGAAGAACTACAGAACTGAAAAATTCAATTTTCCAAATTGGTCTCATAAGTAACTATTAAGTTAACCACGGGCCAAAAACGTATAATATTAAAACTTGGAGGGTTTAATGTAAATAACAAAACAAAGTTTTCATAATTGGTCTCGTAATTAATAATCAAATTAAATACGGACCAAAACGTAATAGTGAAGAAATATTTTGGGCTACTTTATAAATAACATAAGTTATAGACTGAAAAAGTAAACGCTTTACTTCTTCTTCTTTCGTCGTTCTAAAAGTCGCAACTTTTCATTTCTCGATCATCTTCTGAAGAATCCGATTCCGATCAAAATTTTCAGAAGAAGATGTCTCGCCGATCGATTTCACTACTGAAGAATCTTCGTAACATCACCAATGGTTCCAAAATTCAAACCCGATCCGTGACTTACATGCCCAGACCCGGCGACGGGAAACCACGTCCGGTGACTCTAATCCCCGGCGACGGAGTTGGTCCGTTGGTTACAAACGCGGTTGAACAAGTGATGGAAGCGATGCACGCTCCGGTTTACTTCGAACCATTCGAAGTTCACGGAGATATGAAGAGCTTACCTGAAGGATTGTTGGATTCGATTAAGAAGAACAAAGTTTGTTTGAAAGGTGGACTTAAGACTCCATTACCTGTAGGTGGTGGTGTCAGCTCTCTCAATGTTAGTTTGAGAAAAGAGCTTGATCTCTTTGCTTCTTTGGTCAACTGTTTCAATTTGCCTGGTTTAGCTTCTCGTCATGAGAACGTTGATATTGTTGTGATTAGAGAGAACACTGAAGGTGAATATGCAGGGCTTGAACATGAAGTTGTTCCTGGTGTTGTTGAGAGCCTTAAGGTGAAATTTTCTCACTTTTTGATGAATGTTTTGGTTGCAAATGTGATTTGATTTGATGAATGTTTTGGAATTTAGAAGAGCTTGATCAATGTTTAGATTTTTGTGGCATTTGATGCACATTGGTGAATTATGTGTTATGGTGGGAATGCTGCATATGAGAGTGTTACTTGTCTTATTTAAGATGTCTCTGATGCTAATGTTATGCTAGGTGATCACAAAGTTTTGCTCGGAACGTATTGCAAAGTATGCGTTTGAGTATGCTTACTTGAACAACAGGAAGAAAGTTACCGCAGTGCACAAGGCCAACATCATGAAACTGGCTGATGGTTTGTTCTTGGAGTCTTGTCAAGAAGTTGCTAAGAAGTATCCAAGTATTGCCTACAACGAAATCATTGTTGATAACTGCTGTATGCAACTTGTAGCGAGACCAGAGCAATTTGACGTCATGGTAAATGTTTCAGAACTTACGATTGTATTTGTTTCCCAAATCCTCTCGTGTTGATGCGTGTACTAGCTCCCTTCAATCTGGCTTATAATTGCATTGTTCTCCTTTGCAGGTAACTCCCAATCTCTATGGCAATCTAGTTGCAAACACTGCTGCTGGTATTGCTGGAGGCACTGGAGTCATGCCTGGAGGTAATAATAGTCTGCACTAAAATTCACAATAGAGAAGTAGATTCTCTTACTTATTAGATTGCTTATACTCGGAAATGCTCTTCAGGAAATGTTGGGGCGGAGTATGCAGTCTTTGAGCAAGGTGCATCAGCAGGAAACGTAGGGAAGGACACAACAGAAGAGCAAAAGAATGCAAACCCTGTGGCTTTGTTGCTCTCATCAGCAATGATGCTTAGACACCTTCAGTTCCCTTCTTTTGCTGACAGGCTTGAAACCGCTGTGAAGCGTGTTATCTCTGAAGGAAAGTGCCGGACTGAAGATCTAGGCGGAAACAGTACTACCCAAGAGGTCGTTAACGCGGTTATTGCCAATTTGGATTGACTTGACAAATTTTCAACTTCCCTTGTGTAATGATCACACGTCGGTATGATTGACGCTTACCGGAAAATACCTCTAGTATTCCACATTCTTTCGAGATACCTCGAATTGGGATTTAAAATTTCATGAAGAAAATAACATGGTTTCAGTTTTGTTTGAAAAGTTTCGTTTTTTTTTCGTTTTTTGTGGTGATGTAATCTGCAAAGTGCAAACTACCTCAGAGCAGTACTTTTTGAATAATGAGAATTACGTTTAACTTCGTATCAATGTCTTATTATTTTCTAGTTGGTAAAATGTGTCAAAAGCTGATGGTACAAATGCTTCAAGTGAAACAGTCTTTATTTCAATCTCAACTGTACTTAGATTCACACACATAAACATAACATCAAATCATTACTAGAGAAGACAAAGACAAAGCAGAGCACACTGAATCAAAACCATCACGATATTGAAGCTTGAGCTGAACGTTGATGCATAGTTACCAGGACCAGCAGAATCTGTTCAATTGAGAGTAACAAGGTTATTAAGTCATTAATCGCCACTATGCAAAATCAAATGTGCAGAAACTTGGATCAAGCAAACCTGGACAAGCTGGGGAAGCTGTGGTGAAGATGGTTTGGTTGGAGTAACCAGCATAGACGCAAGCACGAGGTCGTCTGCAAGAGACACGTAGCAAAGCTGCATCACATTGTGGAAATGGTGGGCAGGTTGGCCAGTTCAAAGGCTTAATTTCAGATGATGCTTGACAGCTTGAACTGATCACAAAATTCAAAACCAAAACCATCAGAATCTAGAAAAACAAACACAACGCCAAGATTATCCATCACTTACGTCCAATTGTTTGAAGCGTCACAAGTACACTTGACGCAATTGTTAGCAGTGAAGGCGTATGAGTTGTTAGACAGAAGCAGAGGAGCATCCAACGAGTCCTTCCTCACAGAAGAGGTACAAGCTGCAAAATAAAGTTTAAAGTTCATAACTTTCTTTCATCTAAGCTACAAACCAATGAATCTGCTAAAGTCAAAACACTTTTCACTAATAAAAATCGTTTCTTCCCAACCAAACTCATAAAGTCCCAAACTTTCAAATCAAAAAGATCCAAACTTTATAGTTTTAAAACCTTTGAGAGGAACGTTGAGAGGATAATCAGCAAGAAGCTGAGCATCGCCGGAGATTCCATTGATCTGAGCCAAAGTCGTGTTATCCGTTCCGAACTGAGCAGCGATCTCAAGGAGAGAGCTCCCTAGTTTAACCACATGTGCTAAGTGAACAACATCTTCACCTTTCAATTGATCACAGCTACAAGGCAAAGGGATCCAAAACTTTTGACCGATTTCAATTTTGTCTACGTCGACGATTTTGTTAACCTCACTGATCTTCTGGTACGTAACAAGCCCTCCATAAATCTCAGTTGCGATTAGAGAGAGCGTGTCGTCTTTCTTGACTGTGTATTCGATGTCCCTGTTCGATACCCCTGTTCCGTTGGAGCAAGAGCAATGGATTGGGATACGTACGACTTGATTCGGGTTCACTCGCTGGTCACGTTTGGTATCGAGTGGGAGATTGTTAGCTCCGAGGATCGAACGGAGATTCTTGACGGCGAAAAGGGTTTGGATATTGCGCAACGTGGTTGCGTTCTTGCTTGAGTAACCAACGAGAGAGAGACACGTGGTGGTTTTGCCGCTGCATTTGAAATCTCCGGTCATTTGGGCGGAGAGAGAGAGGAAGAAGGAGAGGGAGAGTAGAAGAAGGAGAGGGAAGGTTAAACGGAAAGTTTCCATTTTTAGGTCGTCGGAGAGCTTCTTTTCTCAGATGGGTTTTGTGTTATTAAGGATTAAAAACAGAGTTGTGAATATGAGGACAAAGAAGAACGTTGACTGAGAGAGACTCACTGTTCGAATTTGACTTTTGACAATAAATGAGAGAGCAGAACACAACAACCAGAACAGTCTGTTTTCACATTGTGTTTTTCTTTGTTTTATATTGGAAGTGTTGGTATTTGCTACTACACGCTTACTTGTCGAGAAGATTATCATTGACTGATAAGGTAATAATAGTCTTCTTAACACTTCAATTAGTGATTAAAATTTATCAGTCAATGATAATCTTCTTAACACTTCAATTAGTGATTAAAATTTATCAGTCAATGATAATCTTCTTAACACTTCAATTAGTGATTAAAATTATGATGGTATAGACTCCTCCACCATTCTGAGTTGTTCAATTTATGTAATGATGGTCTAAGACTCATTGATCACCATTTGAGTTGTTCACTTGAGTAGCCGTATTGGAAATGTAATATATAAATCAAAAAGACTTTTGAGCTTATTAGTAACATGTTGATAGAGGTAGTTTGCTCGTCTTCTTGCTTTGGTTCGTTGTGGGTGATAACTCTCTTGATAGTTTTCTCGCTCTCTTTGAGTTTGGTGATTTTGAGATGTTAGGCCTTGCTCCTTGTCTCTGCTTTCGAGATATGTTGACCTCTGTTTGCGTTTGAAAGGCTTCTTGTTAGACGTTCATTGGTGTATCAACGTCGTCGTCGCTTCCGAAAGTTTGTGTTTGTCAGGTGTTGAAATTTCTGTTTTTGAGAGAATGACTCTCATCATGATAAGAGGTGGTAGATGTTGCTTTCGGTTTGGCCGTGGACGTCTTTAGTAAATCTCGTTCACTTGTATCTCAGAAGAAGAGACGCTTGATAATCTTGGTTATATTGTTTCCCTTGTTTTATTGCCGGTTGCTTATATTCTTGGTTTAAGGTTTCGTCTCCTTTCGTTTTTAGTTGCAAATTTTATGTTTTGTATTTCGTTTTTCTTTAAACTCCCTTTACATAGGGCTAGTGATTCTGGGATATTACCGTGGTCCGCCGGCTTAAGTTTCCCTCTTTTGGGCGTTGTATGTATTTCATCTTTGGTTACACCACAAATTTTAATATAATTCCAGTTGACAAAAAAAAGAGTTGATAGAGGTAATTTGCACACATAATTTGTTGTCTTCTATTTTTTTTTTCTCACTTCAAAAGGAGAGTGACCACTTGAAATTGAACTCACAAAAATACAACTTTGAAATTTGTTTGCACAATGCACCATTCATTTGGCACGACATGGCGCATGTGTCTGTGGTATAGCATAATGGTCTTAAACACTTATACACCATTCTTCCAATGTAGGATATTCGCTCATTTTAACACTTGGTAATATTAGAAAATTTCTAAGCTTTCTATGATAATTATTTTAATTTTAGATCCTTATTTCTCGTTCAAAATAACTTTGATTTTGATATGTTAATATACTATATCATAGGATAGTCCATTACTTTGTAAAAATTTGAGTTCCAACAATTATGGTTTCGAAGTTATGGAGGTAAATTGTTTTTTTTTTTTTTTTTTGTGTGTGTGTGTTGTAAATATGTTGTTTATAATTTTTAAAAGTAAATAATTTTAAAGTAAGTTGACTCTACACAGAGTCAATTATTGCGTGACATAACTCATTATAAAACTCATTCATGTGTATTATTACATTACAACATCATATTCATAACTGACATTTTTTTTTATTGTCCAACGACGAAATCAAAATAAGAATCAACTTCAATGAATTAGTCTAAGACGGCGTTACAAAATAATCAAACGACTACTAATACACACATGACTCACTCGACCAAACATGACTCATCCAAATTATTATTAGTCTCATTTTTGAAAACATTGTATTTTTCCAAAAATACCATAATTTGTTTTTGAATTTTCTTTCAAAAAATACCACAATTTTGTTTTTTCAAAATTTTCATAAACACACAAAATTAATTTTTGAAAGTGCAAATTTTTTTTAAATATATTTAGAATATAATTTTTAGGAATAAGATTTTGTGTATATAATTTAGAAATTAATTTTGAATGTTAAAAAATTAATATTAGTTTTGTGGTATTTTTGAAAAAAATATATTTTAAAGATATTATTAAAAAAATAAAACTTATAACATATTTTTTTGGTATTTATTGAAGTTAATAATTGTCTTTTGAAACGGATTTTTTTTCAGTAATTCATCATTGCTGGCAAAGATTCGTCTTTTCTTCTTCACTTTAAAGTTTAAAGTTCAAAATATTTTCTCGAGAAAAATACCAACTTTAAGTTTTTTTCCTTTTTTTCCCTATCACCTTCTTTGCCCCAAATTAAGCTTTACTTTTCTCATTCCTCTTCTCTCACCTAACAATATCAAAGTCTCATCCTTTTTTCACTTAAAACTTTAATAATTTCTGTACGAACGAACAATCATCTCTGATTCTTCGAATCTCAAAGAATCTCTCAAAAAAAAAAAATTAAAATTTTTGATTTGATGGGTTGTACAACCTCTAAGCTCGACGATCTCCCAGCAGTAGCGCTTTGTCGTGACCGTTGTGGTTTCTTAGAAGCAGCGATTCATCAACGTTACGCTTTAGCCGAAGCTCACGTCGCTTACACACAAGCCCTTAAAGGAATAGCTCAGCCTCTTCACAAATTCATCAATCACCACCGCCGTGAAGTTGAAGATGACGACGATTCGGATTCACCCAAGAAAGCTAAACCCAAGATGGGTTCTTCTGGGTCGGGTCATCTCGAGTTCGATTCGGATTCTGATGACGACGATACTGATTCTTTGCATTCGTCTCCTCTGCATCATCATCTAGACGAAGACCCGAATCCGAAATCGTATTTGCATATGAACTTTATGAAGAATAGTTCTATGCCTCCTTCTGTGGTTTATGAGCAGAGACCTTCGAGTCCTCAGAGGGTTTATTTCGGCGAGTCATCATCATCCTCTGGCTATAATCCGAGATATTCGAATTACGGACCTGAATCTTCACCGAAGTTGCCTCCGCCGCCACCGTCGCCGCCGAGGGAAAAGGTTTGGGATTTCTTAAACCCTTTTGATACTTATTACACTCCGTACAGTCCTAGTCGTGATTCGAGAGAGTTGAGAGAGGAATTGGATATTCCGGATTTGGAGGAAGACGATGAGGTTGTGAAGGAAGTAGTACATGGGAAACAGAAATTTGTGGCTACGGCTTCTGTGGAAGAGCCTGCAAGTAACTCTGGTGGTGCCAGCACTAGCGGCGGAGGAGGTCAGGCTTCTTTGTATCAGACTAGGCCAACTGTGTCAGTTGAGAAAGAAGATATGGAGCACGAGGTTCATGTCGTGGAGAAGAAAGTTGTTGAGGATGGTAGTGGTGGAGACGAGGTGCGGAGGAGTAATGCTGCGGCTGCACATAGCAGTCGGGTCCGGCGTGGGGTGCCTGAGGTTGCGAAAGAGATAGAAGCTCAGTTCTTGAGAGCTGCAGAGTCAGGAAGTGAGATTGCAGTGATGCTTGAAGTGGGCAAGCATCCTTATGGTCGCAAACATGGTAGATTTCATCATCATTTGCTACATGTCTTATTTTACTTTGTGTATGCTTTTAATGATGCTGTTGCCAAACTTTTGCTTCTTTGTAGAGATCAAGTAAATGTTTATGGTTTTGTGTCAATATATGATTCTTTTGACACTATTGTCAGTGAAAAGAATGTTACATATTGCAGCTTTCTTGTGTTTGAACTTTGAACTATTCTTTGATTTCTGAAAAATAGACTGTGTGCCTGTATTGGAGCAGTTTCGTCAAAGAAGCTGCAGGAGGTAACCCCATCACTATCTGTGGTTTCGCCAGCTCAATCATCAACCTCCAAGAAAACTAAAGCTGATGCCTCTTCTCCATTGGCTGCTCCTACTTACGCAGACATTGAGGCAGAGCTTGCTTTAAGGTCTCGTAATCTTTCTTCGACATTGCACAAGCTCCATCTCTGGGAGAAGAAGCTTTACGAGGAAGTCAAGGTATATTATTTATACAGAAAGTGTCTCTCTTAAGATAGTCAGATGTGATAACTTTAGTTAGCTCACTTTAGTCAAGGTTTGAACTACATTTTTTGTGCATGTAGGCCGAGGAAAAACTGCGTGTAACCCATGAGAAAAAGTTGAGGAAGCTGAAGCGTTTGGATGAAAGAGGTGCCGAGGATCTAAAAGTAGATTCAACACGAAAGTTAGTGAGAAGTTTGTCCTCAAAGATAAGGATTGCAATTCAAGTTGTTGATAAAATCTCCGTGACTATTAACAAGATAAGAGACGAAGAGCTATGGCTGCAACTGAATGAATTGATCCAAGGGTACGCTGGATGAAAATTTCATGCAATCGTATTTTACTATGATCTTTCTTTGTTTCGTACTGGTTTCTCATTAGATGCCAACCCCTCTTACAGGCTTAATAGAATGTGGATTTCCATGCTTGAGTGCCATAGAAGTCAGTTTGAGGCTATTAAGGAAGCCAGAGGTTTAGGCCCCATTAGAGTGAGCAAAACACTTGGTGATGATCATCTCGAAGCTACAAGGATGCTTGGGCATGAACTTATAAATTGGATTGTAGGATTCTCCAGTTGGGTTAGTGCGCAAAAAGGTTTTGTAAGAGAACTGAATAGCTGGCTTATGAAGTGTCTTTTCTATGAACCTGAGGAAACTCCTGATGGATTCGTTCCTTTTTCTCCTGGTCGTATTGGGGCTCCATTGATCTTTGTGATATGTAACCAGTGGGAACAAGCTCTGGATAGAATATCAGAGAAGGAAGTTATCGAGGCTATACGCCGTTTCACTACGAGTGTGCTGCATCTCTGGGAAAAAGATAGGTCCGAAACCCGGGAGAGGATGACGGGGCAGGGTGATCCAAGAAATGTGGACCGAGAGGAACAAAGATTACAGAAAGAGATTCAAGAACTGGAGAGGAAAATGGTTCTGGTGGGTCCGGGCGAGGATAACATTGTCTACCAAAGCGACACTAGTAACGATAGTTTACAAGGTAGTCTTCAACGTATATTTGAAGCTATGGAGAGATTTACAGAGGAATCAGTGAAAGCTTATGAGGATCTCTTGCATCGTGCTGAAGAAGAATGCGGCTCTCGCGAAACAGATGAAGACTAATGAAAAACCATGGAGGAAAATATCGCTTGACCAAAATGATCATAGACTTGTGAGTTGATTCACGTGCTATATATAGACAGCTAAGTTATGCTTGGCCATGATGATGCATGATCCACCATGACTCAGTCTGTAGACTGGAGCACCAGACCACATTCATATATATGGATGGTATCTAAGGCACCAGGAAGTTAATGTATCACCTTCCTCGTACACGCGCAATAACTGCTCTGCAGAAGACATGGGATAGAGAAATGGATCAATGCTCAGTTAATGGATGTGGTCATGTGCTATGTGCCCTATTTTAGAAGGGGCATGGTTGGCACATGTGAATTACCCAATTTTGTATAGCTTAATCTTTTCTTAGAACGTTACTATGCTCCACTATCTATGTCCACAACATTTTTCAGTCTATGAACAAAAATCTTGACAGATTTATAAATGTTTGGTTTTAATAATTTGGGAAGCTGTAGTTTAACTAGTATGTGATTATCATCACCATTCTACAATACCCTGTTACAACATATCATATACCACAAAGAGGCAGTGCATTCGTAGGCATGAAAAGGTTCAATAGTTCATAGCTTCAACTATATGATGTGCTACTTTTGCCCATTCCATGGTTTGATACTTTTGCTATGATCACACCTTGAATGAGAGTTGCGAAACCCTATATTGTTTATTGGAACTTCAAAACATTTGTGATTATAACAGATGCATTGAGTAGTAGTAGAATACAAACCAGTTTTATTTATGTATTTGATCCCATTCCATATTACAAAAGTCCAATGCTTCACCTGTGCAATATGAAGTGAGCAATACAGCTGCGTGTAGCATGTTCATATTGTACAGCTGAAGCATTGGACCATTGTAATTTGTAATTTTGTTGTAGATTGAACAAATCTTATGTGAGGAAGTATGATTCAAAGAAAAAAAACTATGATTCAATTGTAAAATCACAATACGTTTTTTTTTTTTTAGTGAATACATGTAAGAGTAGTGTTTATGATCAGCAAAATATTTGGTTAAATACACAAAAACGGGGATGTTGAATCATCCAAATTTAAGAAACTTATTAATTTAGTTTGACTCCATCAGTTTCTTAATTATTCTTCTTGGTAAATTAAAATTAGGGAAATTAAATAATAAGAAAATTAATAAATTCTGGAAATATATTTACACTTTTAAGATAATCAAACATTGACTATAGGAAATTAGGAATTAGGAAATCCTGTAGTTAGTTTTTTCTTTTTTTTTTCACTTTTGGTAACCATCATCAGTTAGTTTTTGACTCTTTTTATTTTCCTTGCCCTTTTCGTTATAACAGAAGTCAATGTTTTTGTCAGATACTGGATGTAGGAAAGTGAGTAAGATTTTTTTGCACGTATGAATATTAGGAAAGAAAGTTACTGAAAAATAAATATTTGTTGAATTATATTCGTGTAACAATTTTTGAAATAATCTATCTCTATAATATAAGAGCCTAAATTATGAGTTAATAATTTTCTTACACTCTTATTTAAAATGTAAGAGTATGGTGTATGGATGAAAATAATATTAAACCACATTAAGAAGTTTTTTTTTCTTTTAACAACGTAACTTAAGAAGAAAAAAAGAAAAAAGAAAAAAACGTAACTTAAGAATAAAATCAGTTATGATACACAGGTTCACTGTCCATCATGATTGATAGTTGAATTTAATGGGTTAACCCAAACACACTCTAATCCATGAACCTAATAAATTGGAATTTTGGGTATTAATGGATTAATGGGTTAAATGGGTTAATGAATTTAGTGAGTTGAGTTGTAATGGTTTCGATTGAAATGGTTTATTGGGTTATCCATAACAAAACCAATAAAATTGAACAATCTTAAATCAAATAGATATACCAAATATAACCAAATTAAATATCTAAACCGATTTTATTAAACCACAAGCCTAATTTAATTAGATTAAGCAAGAAAAAGAAGAAGCTAATTAACATTTTTCCGCCAAAAAAGGGATTTCATAATTTCCCGCTAAAAACGGGATTCCATATTTTCCTGCCAAAAACGGGATTCCATATTTTCCCGCCAAAAACATGATTTTGAAATTTCTCGCCAAAAACATAATTTTATAATTTCCCGCCAAAAAATATGATATTATATTGTTATTAATAATAAATTCTGATAATAAATTATTAATATCTAATAATATTATTTTATTATTTTATTACTATGAGTCAACCCATTTAAGTTAAACCATTGCATTTAACCATTAAAACACAAGCCTAATTTAATAAATGTAATGTTTTTAACCATTAAAACAATCAAATAATTAGGTTAATGGGTTGATTCAAACCATTTGTTAAATGGTTTGGATCAACTCATAAACCATTTAAGTCCAAATTCATTGGATTATGAGTTGGTCTAGGTTGGTTTACCCATTTTGACACCCATAGATACAAATTACGTATAATCTTTACTAAAACACAAAATTACTTATGGTCACTTTGTAATATAAAGTAAAACTCAAAATAATTAGCAACCTGTAAGGCTTTCTTTAACCGTTAATAGTTCTGAAACCTTCATAGTTTCATTGGAATTAAAATAGGGTTTTGTGCAAATAAACCCTCCAAAATAAAACAGTTATTCATCGGTCTTTCTACTGACTAGAGGCACTGAAAGCTGATAAGCTCCCTAGATTACGCCTCAAGATCACCTTTTACAACAAAGATCTGTGTTTTCATCTTCCACAACGAGAAACAATTGACTGGCTCGTCTTCATACTATGTTTTGACTTATTGTTGCTTAAGTTTGCTACTTCTGTACAATTGAATCAGCCGATACTAAACCAAAGATACAATCTCTATTTTCTAATGCATCAAATTTTTGTGTGCAACAGTCTCATTTTACTCCATGTAGAAAGACTTGACACCTTCAAAGATAATATAGAGATGAGTCATGGTGTTGTCCACTTTTTCTTCAAGTAGCCATGTAAAAAAAAATTAACCTTCATTGAATTATAGGTGAAGTCCACCTGAATAATTCGGCTCCTATCCCCGTACAGACCATACAAAAATGCTTGAAACATAACACATGAACATAATTAACATATATAGGAAGAACATTAATACACTATTTGATTGGAGGAAATTTACATTTTTAATATTTGCCCTATCTCATGCAACAAATTGCGTGTACTCTTTACTAGTCTATCACTTCATTTATTGATTTCATTTCATGATCATTCTGAAAACCCTAATTTTTTTTTCTCGATATACCCTTGGTTATTTTTTATATTTCAATGGAGATAGTATTAAATGTAATGTTATATTATTACTTTTTCCTATATAATACAAAATGAAATTCTGTATTCTTTATAGAAAAATTATTATAGAGGTAAATAAACTAAAATTTCAAATATATTGAATGGTAAAATGTGAAACTAAATCTTGAATTTTAAAATTTGACCGTGACACTAGCTAAAATTATAATATTTTTACATTAATAAAGCTAATATTTAGTATTTTTTAAAGAAAAGTAAAATCAATTTTTTTTTTCATTCTTTACATTTAAAACATTACCTTATTTGTTAAATTTTTATAATCCTGTTGACTAGAATTTTAAATGACTTTCAAAGTCTTAGTTGCAATTCTACATATGTTCATTAATATCCCAAAAGGCAACACATACTAAAACAAGAAGATCTTCAAGTCAACCTAATCAAAAAAAAGAAAGTTATATTCGAAACATTTTCAAAGTATCAAAAATTGTAAATACTTATAGAAATTTAGTTAAAATATTATAATTGATAAAAAAAATTTTAAAGCAAAAATTAACGAGCAGATATATTTTAAAAAGCAATAAACGCGCTTATGGCACGGATTCTCATCTAGTAAAAAACAAGAACCGAAAAGAAGAAAAAAAACAAAACAAAAAAACCCTTGAGTGACAAAAAAGAAAGAAGGTCTCTTCTTCTAATTTTGGCACGAGGAATGATGGTAATAATGCTATAAAATCAGTCTCGGCAACAAAGAGACACTGAAGATTTAGAGTCAAACGTCACCAAAGACCAAACAAGGAATCAAATAAAACAATAAGGAATAGCTTTGTGTCTCTTCCCTTTGGCCGCTGAAGAATCATGGGTTGTTGTTACTCCTTGCCTTCAACAGTAGATCCTCTTCATGACAAGACGACCGATGCATCTCCCGAGCCGGCCAGAAACGGCGGAGGAGAAGATCCACCGTTGATAAAGTTCTCTTTCTACGATCTCAAGATGGCCACCAGACATTTTTGTCCTGATAACATCGTTTCGGAACATGGCTTCGATATTGTCTTCAAGGGCTATCTGCTAAACGGTGGCATCGTCGCGGTCAAGATATTTAACAGCATGGTTTGGTCTGATCCCAACCAGTTTGTGGTACGTACTCTTACTTTTGTCTGAAAATGCTTATTTTGTGACGGTTGTTGATTGAATCGCTTGGTTTATGTTTTGTCTAAACGTTTTCAGGAAGAGGCACGAAGAGTTGGTAGGTTAAGACATAAGAGACTTGTCAATCTGATTGGTTATTGTTGTGATGGAGACAAAAGACTTCTTGTCGCAGATTACATGCCTTATGATAATCTTGCTAAGCGTTTATCCCAGCGTATGATTCATTTCTCTTCATATCCTTGTTTTATTCATAACATTTTAGGGTTTTGTTGTTTTATTCATAACATTTTAATTAGGGTTTTGTGGATCTGAGGATATATATAGAGGTTTGCATTGGTTCTATATGACATGATGTGTAGTATATATCAGTGTATATCTTATTTTATTCATAAAATTTTAGGGCTTTGTGGATATATTTGAGGATACATAGAGAGAGGTTTGCATTGTTGGTTTGTTATGACATGATCATGTGTGATATCAATGTATATATTGCTTGTCGAAATGTGTAAACGATTGAATCTGATAGAACTTGCTAGCATTTTTTTTATTGTTTTGGATCACAGGGAAAACTCATAGGATGGATTGGTATATGAGGTTGAGAATAGCCTGTGGTATAGCTGAAGCATTGGATTATTGCAACACAGCAGGCTTTGCTTTTTACAATAATCTAAGTGCTTACAAGGTTTTGTTTGATGAGGTATATATATTATTAAGACAAACATTCTCATGCATATGCCTCTTCTTATGTGGTCTACGTATGCTAAAAATGTTTTTATTATCAAATGGTGTAATATTTGAAGGATGGTGATGCATGTCTTTCCTGTTTCGGCTTGGTGAAGGGGATCAATGATGAGCAAACAACAACAGGTAATAATTAAATACACATTTCTCTTTTCGTATTATTATTATTATTATTATCAAAATGTGATGTTACAGTTTTTAATAATATTCTCATTTCAGGAAGTGTGAGCCCTCAAAATGTGACATACAGATATGGTACTCTCCTTCTGATTCTTCTAAGTGGAAAGCAAATTCCTCCAAGCCATGTAAGTGATCATTATGCTCAAGTCATCTCTTTCTTTCTTAGTTGTGTGAATCAACCATTCATTTTGATTTTTGTTCTTGTAATCATTATAAGGTTATATCTACCATTGTTAATTTCTTGCAACACAAGCCACATATAAACCAATTAATTAGTTTGCTATTTATTTTTTTGCTTCTAGGTTCCTGAGATGATACATGGAAAGACTGTTTTCCAGGTGATGGATCCATATCTGAAAGGGAGGTTTCCCGTGGATCAAGCTACCGCGGTTTTCAATCTCGCCATTCAATGTTTACAGGATGAGGATCAAGAGAGTCCTAACACAAAAGAGATTGTTGCAACTCTTGAAACCTTGCAAACTAGAACAGAAGTAATGAGCTTATTGTTACCCGTAGTTTCATTCTTGGTTGTATTTTTCTCACATTCTATATTAAAGTTGATCTTCATCTCCTTATAGGTTCCATCTCATGAAGTTATTGAAATGACAATGCCGCAGAACGAGGCATCATTGTCAACTCATTTTTCATCAACTCATCAGTCACCAAGTCATCTTTCGTCAACTCATCTTTCTCCAACTCACCTTTCATCAACTCATCAGTCACCAAGTCATCTTTCGTCAACTCATCTTTCTCCAACTCATTTTTCATCAGCTCATCAGTCACCAAGTCATCTTTCGTCAACTCATCATTCGCCAACTCAGCAGTCACCAAGTCATCTTTCGTCAACCCATCTTTCTCCAACTCATTTTTCATCAACTCATCAGTCACCAAGTCATCTTTCATCAACTCATCTTTCTCCAACTCATCATTCGCCAACTCACCTTTCGCCAACTCCTCTTTCGCCTTTAGGAGAGGCTTGCTCGAAAATGGACCTTGCATCTATTCATAAAATCATGGTGTCAACAGCATATGGAGATGACAAGGATTTCATTGAGGTAACCAAACTCATCAACTTAAACATAACTTTACAACTATATTTAGCATCAAAGAGGCTAACTACTCTTGTATTTGTTCATGAGCTAAGGTATCTTTTGAAGAATGGATACAAGAAGTGAAAGAACTTCAAGATGTGCGAAAACAAGGTGATCAAGCCTTCGTAGAGCAAGACTTTAAAACCGCCATCGCCTGTTATTCTCAGGTAGTTAACATTCTCTGCCTTTCTAGCATGCATAGTAGTTCAATCTCTATGTTTTAAAAAATCTGTTTCTATTTCTGGCCACAGTTCATTGAGGGTAGGACAACAGTGTACCCAAGTGTTTATGCGAGGCGTAGTCTATGCCGTCTATTCTGCAATGAGCCAGATGATGCCCTCCTTGATGGTATGGCTGCACAAAGTGTGTTCCCTGATTGGCCAACTGCCTTATACTTGCAGTCTGTGGCCTTGGCCAAACTCAACATGAACACTGACTCTGCTGATACTTTGAATGAAGCATCTATTCTTGAAGAAAAGAAACTGCAACAATGAGAAAGAACCTTGGTTTTGCTTTTGTCATGTCTTTTTTTATAATTTCTGAGTTACGTATTAAAACAAGTTAAAACCTTTTTTTTTATGTGAAACCTTCTTTATCTTCATCTCTTGTAGTGACCAATTTTAAGACGGTCTTTGGGTATATTGAGAAAGAAAGTCTTATTGCACTAAGTTTCCATTCTTCTTTATGTAAAGATACAATGTGTGGCTATGGAGATTGTACAGAGGCTGCTTAGCTTAAATGTATAATTAACATTAATCATGCATGAAACTAGAAAAGAAAACAGCAATGATGTTTGCAATCGTCTAGTCTTGGATTTAGATAATATCTATTAATAAAATTCAAGAATATGAACTCACAAGTGTGGCAAGAAATTGATGTGTTAAAGTTTGTCACATATAACAAAGATGCCATGTCTTGTTCTCATGTCTCCGTACTCTGTACTCATACATATTGTGGTTGCTGAGAGGAAAAGGAGACATGCAAGATCCGAGTTTAGAGTATAGAGATTATATTTTGAGAGCTTTTGTAAATCTTCTCCAACCATCCCTCTATACAGCTCATTGTACTTCATATAAAAAATGTGTTTTAGTTCAGACACATAAGAGACATGTCTTAATTGTCACTCGTGCAAAAAATGGAATAAGAGACATGTCTTTATTGTAAATGGTGTGTTGAGCTGTAAGGATGGTTAGAGAGAGACATAGAACTACAATGACGGAGATCTTGATCCACTAATTTTGTATTACTATATGAGATGCCTCTTGTCACCTACTGAAAGGTGTATTGCACAAACATTTTACTAATGATATGAATAGTTTAAGCACCAAGAGTTACCTCTTCTCTATCTTCCCTTGTGGTAGTGTATATATATAAGGCTTGTGAGGCAATGAGAAGGCAAAACAAACATCTTAAGCTCTCTTAAGAAAAAAATCTAAACAAAAACATAAAATGGCTGTCTCTTTCCATGTTCGCTCTAACAGTTTCCCTTCAAGACCTCACCCACAAGCTGCTCATGTCGATGAGCAGTTGGCCCGTTTGAGATCTTCTGAGGAAACTTCAACCTCTTCCAGCTATTCTATCTGCAAAAGACTTGATAACCTTCAGGATTTACATGAGTCTCTTGACAAGCTTATTCGCTTACCCGCTACCCAACAGTCTCTAGGTCAAGAGCAGAACAAGAAAGCTGTAGAGCAGCTTCTTGATGGATCCCTTAGGATCTTGGAGGTGTGCAACATTTCCAAGGAAGCTTTGTCACAGATGAAAGAAGGTCTCATGGAGATCCAGTCGATTCTAAGAAGAAAGCGCGGAGATCTATCAGGAGAGGTGAAGAAATACTTGGCCTCAAGAAAGTCCTTCAAAAGGACATTCCAGAAAGTACAAAAGTCTCTTAAGGTTGCACAAGCCGAAGACAACAACGACGAATCTTTGGCTGTATTCGGAGAAGCAGAAGCTATTACAGTTGCTCTTTTTGATTCTCTCTTCATCTACATGTCAGGATCAAAGGCTTGTAGCAAATGGTCAGTCGTCTCAAAGCTAATGAACAAGAAGAAAGCTACATGTGAAACGCAAGCAAACGAATTCACGAAGGTTGATTCCGAATTCCAATCCGAAAAGACCTTGAAGATGGAGGATGTTCAGATCCTAGAGTCATGCATTCAAGATCTTGAAGATGGACTTGAATCACTTTCAAAGTCAATGATTAAATACAGAGTCTCATTCCTTAACATCTTAGGCCACTAATGAAAATGCCTACAATATTTTTGTATATATCAAATTAATGTTAAAAAAATATATTAACAACAACAAATACAATTACTTAATTCTTTGGTTACATCTCTTCATCTCTCTCCCCTAATCATCTCAATCTTGTTAGCTTAATCATAAGAATTTTCTAACGGTTAAAACCAATAAACATGTGCTTGCCTCCACATAATCATGTAGCATACACGTTTGTTCAAAAAATTTATAAAGATCCACCAAGTTTTTTATTAGGTGGATGTGTTCATGCACATGCCATGATCTACGGATACGGATCTTGCCCCTACTTCATCATCTATATCACAGTTGTCCAAATATGCTTTCTTGTGATTAGTATAATCATATCATGCATTTGCAAGCGTGTGCTATACTGGAAACAGGTTATGTATAGCTCACACGGAGACAGTTATTAATATTCACAAAAACTAAATCCTGAGGGAGGAGGAGACAAAGCCAAGCTGGAACTGACAGAAGCTATTGGAGAGTGCTCGTGTGGTTTGACATTTTTTTTAAGATAACAAAACTTCAAAATCAAAGCATAGCTTTATTTAATTCCTTGAAGACAACATCCACACGTATTGTTTTACATGCCATTATCTACGGATAAGGATCTTGCCGCTCACTCCACCAAATCACTATTATTATCATTTGAAGATTTTAATATAATTCACATTTTTTAAAAATTAACATAATGCAAGCGTGTAACATCATTAAAAACACATTTTTTTAAATGAAGATTACATTTAAAAGAATATATATTTCTTTTTGCATTAACATGGGAAAAATTATAATTTTCTTGAGCAAGTCTATTAAAAATGACTAATTTGGTTTATTGATGTTTCTTGTAATGTAACTTACTTCATGTTGTATTATAACATGCATGGCGAAAACTACCTTTTCTTGAGCAAGTATATAAAGAACTAAAATGACTTATTTGTTTTATTGATGTTTTCATGTAATGTAACTCACTTCATGTTCTATTTACGATTTTTTCATGGCTATTTTTTTGCGGTTGCACCTATGTTTACATTTTAAAGAGTATAGAACAATGATTATTGCAAGTTCACAGGAAAAAGATAAGGGTGACTTTCAATAGCAGACAAGCCAGCTATGTTTGTAAATTAGTCGCTCGTGCAATGGAACTCAACTCAGTGCATTAAGTAAATAGAGAATTGAGCTGTGAGGGATGGTTGGAGAGAGACATAGAACTGATATGGTGGAGATCTTGATCCATTATTTTTATTTGTCATATCTGATAATGAGATGCTTATTGTTTAACCACCACGAGATTCGTCTCACCTCTCTTTCCTGATGGTGTGTATATATGTATTGACCTAGAGACGCATTGAGAAGGCAGAACAAACATCTTTAGCTCTCTCTACATTTGTATTCTTCTTGATCAATAAAAATGGCTGTCTCTTTCCATGTTCGCTCTAACAGTTATCCCTCAATACCTCACCCACAAGCCGCTCATGTCGATGAGCAGTTGGCCCGGTTAAGATCATCTGAGGAAGCCTCAACATCTTCAAGCTCTTCTATCTGTCAAAGACTTGACAACCTTCAAGAATTACATGAGTCTCTTGACAAGCTTATCCGCCTACCCGTTACACAACACGCTCTAGGTCAAGAGCAGAACAAGAAAGCTGTTGAGCAGCTTCTTGATGGATCTCTCAGGATCTTGGATGTGTGCAACATTTCCAAAGATGCTTTGTCGCAGATGAAAGAATGCCTTATGGAGATCCAATCTATTCTAAGAAGAAAGCGCGGAGATCTATCAGGAGAGGTTAAAAAATACTTAGCTTCAAGAAAGTCCTTCAAGAAGACATTCCAAAGAGTACAAAAGTCTCTCAAAATTTCACAAACTGAAGACAACAACGACAAATCTTTGGCTGTCTTTGGAGAAGCAGAAGCTGTTACAATTGCTCTTTTTGATGCTCTCTTTAGCTACATGTCTGGATCAAAGACTTGTAGCAAATGGTCAGTCGTCTCAAAGATAATGAACAAGAAGAAAATTACATGTGAAGCGCAAACAAACGAATTCACAAAGGTTGACTCCGATTTCCAATCCGAGAAGACTTTGAAAATGGAGGATGTTCAGATCCTAGAGTCATGCATTCAAGATCTTGAAGATGGACTTGAGTCATTATCTAAGTCTCTGATCAAATACAGAGTTTCAATTCTCAACAGCTTTGGCCATTAAAGCCTATAAATTTTGTACATATAAGAAAAGTTAATAGTAACTAATTCAAGTATCAATTCCAAACATCTTATTCCTTTTATCTTTGACTCTTTAAACATCAAATAACAAGTTCATCACCAATAAATCAGAAATTTTTTAAATTGAATCTTGAATTCACAAAGTTCATAGTTTAAACTTCATGGTAAAACTAATGACGTGAATAACTCTTGTCGACTCATTATAAATGATGAAGTTTTTCGAATTTCACATGTTATTTGCAATAATAACTTTGTTCATGTCTGTATGGTGGGAAACATTTGAAGTGATTCAAGAAACCATAATTAAGAAATAAAACTCTAAAGTTCTTTGTGAGTTTTCACATGTCGAAAAATCGACGAATAAGGATCTTGTCTGTATAATATCCTTGAGAAGGTTGTGTTAAATATGAAACAATGTATTCTTTAAACTCTGTGTGCATGAGGTTTAACTTATTATATGCAAAAATAGTTGTTTGTTTGGTTTTCGGACTTGTAAATAAAAAATTACAAAATAAACAGAGATTAAACTTATGAATTAAAACATTGGGTCATATGGGTTTTCAGAGATCAATGAGAAATTGAAATATATGCACGAGTGGCTCTAAAACAATGTGTTATATTTATGCAAGTCTGTTTTCAAGAATATAATACAGACAAGATCCTAATATATTGGTTTTGACATGTGAAATCGCATAGTGTACTTTATTTTTATGTTGAATTATATTTACACTGTCTCCCACCATTTAGACATGAACAGATCATCTATTATTGCTCAAAACGTGTGAAATCAGAGATGCTTAATTATGGTTAATACTATAAAGGAGAGTAGTATAGAAGGTTACAAATGTAATTAGTTAATCACTAAACCTAAGACTGAACCTATATATATGTTGTAAATCATGTTAATAAAATCATATCATTCAGTCCAACTTAATATGGTATCAGAGCAGTGTTTTTCCTAAAACCTAAAAATTTTTTTCGCCGCCGCTCATCTCTTCTTCTTCTTCTTCTTCTTCTTCATCTCTGTTCTTCCGCTTCTCTTTTTCTAATCACCGGCCATGTCTTCCTCCTCTGAGGTAGTTGCAACCACCGACAACACGTCGCTTCTTAACATCAATATGTCCAACGTGACAAAGCTCACCGCCACGAATTTCTTGATGTGGAAACGTCAAGTCCATGCCTTGTGCAAGGGCTATGACCTTGATGGCTATCTCGATGGTGTGACTGCTGCACCACAAGCCACCGTGATCTCAGAGGGTCACACCTCTCCAAATCCGGCTTACAAACATTGGTTTCGCCAAGACCAACTCATCTACTCCAGTCTTCTGGGATCCATTTCAATTGCTGTGCAACCTCTTCTGTCAAAGACAACAACGTCGGCTGAAATTTGGAATACGCTCACTGACATGTATGCGAATCCAAGTCGGGGACATGTCAAACAATTACGTGCGCAATTAACGCATTGGAAGAAAGGTACAAAAACCATAGAGGAATATTTTCAAGGCTTAACAACACGTTTTGATCAGCTTGCAACTCTTGAGAGTCCTGTTCCTCATGAGGACCAAATCGATTACATCCTTGGTGGTTTACCAGAAGATTACAAACAAGTTCATGATCAGATAGAGGGCCGTGAGACTGCACCATCGCTGCCCGTCATCTATGAAAAGTTGATCAATCACGAGCTGAAAATCCAAACCATCCTTGCTGCTGTCTCCACTACCGTTCCGGCGTCTGCAAATGTGGCTACTCACAAAAACTCGAGTCACAACAATCGTTATCAAAACCGTGGCCGAGGGAATCAACAACAACATAACTCCCAGCAAGGACGTGGTTCACAAGGCAGGGGTTACCAAGGTCGTTGTCAAATTTGTGGAGTCCACGGCCACAGTGCTCGTTGGTGTTATCACCTTCAATCTGCTGGAAGAGGATACTCGACTTCAGGGGGTGGATATCAAACAGCGGGCACTGGATACTCTTCGCCACTGCCATGGCAACCCCGAGCTAATGTTGCCATGATATCACAGCCCAATGCAGCTCCATGGGTATGTGATACTGGGGCTACTCATCATTTAACGTCGGACCTTGCGAACTTATCTCTCCATCAGCCGTACAATGGAGGAGAGGAGGTGACAATAGCAGATGGTTCTGGCTTACCAATTACCCACACTGGTTCAGCCTTACTTCCTACACCATCTCGTTTTCTTAAATTGCAAGATGTTTTATACGTTCCGAATGTGTGCAAAAATTTGATTTCGGTTTACAGACTTTGTAACGCTAATCAAGTCTCTGTGGAATTCTTTCCCGCACATTTTCAGGTGAAGGATCTCAGCACGGGGGCCCGGTTACTCCAAGGCAAGACTAAGAATGAGCTATATGAATGGCCAATTGATCAGCGTACTGCTACGGCTTTATCGGCATCATCTTCACCCAAAACCGATTTTTCTTCTTGGCATAAAAGACTTGGCCATCCCTCTTTTTCTACTCTAAAAGCTGTTGTTTCCCAGTTTTCTTTACCACTTTCAAACTCTCTGCAAAAACCTTTCTCTTGTTCCGATTGTTTACTCAATAAAAGTCACAAGTTGCCGTTTAATACAAACACAATCACCTCCTCACAACCTCTTGAGTATCTTTACACAGATGTTTGGACTTCTCCCATTTTGTCTTTTGATCACTTCAAGTATTACCTTGTCATTGTCGATCATTTTACAAGGTATACTTGGATGTATCCATTGAAACAAAAGTCACAAGTTAAGGAGGTTTTTGTGGCGTTTAAAGCATTGGTGGAGAATCGATTTCAGAGTAAAGTTCGTACCTTATACTCCGACAATGGTGGAGAGTTTGTGGCGCTACGGTCATTCCTAGCAGAGCATGGCATTTCGCATCTCACTACACCACCGCATACGCCAGAACACAACGGCATTTCCGAAAGAAAACATCGACACATCGTTGAGACGGGTCTTGCTCTTCTTGGCCATGCCTCAATGCCAAAAACATATTGGTCGTATGCGTTTGCTACTGCGGTGTACCTAATCAACCGAATGCCAACAGAGATTTTAGATGGTCAAAGTCCGTATCTGAAGCTGTTCAAGCAATCTCCCAATTACGTTAAGTTACGGGTTTTTGGTTGCACTTGTTATCCATGGTTACGTCCATACCGTAACAACAAGTTAGAGACGAGATCAACGGCGTGTGTATTTGTCGGCTATTCTCTCACACAAAGTGCCTATCTATGCCTAGATACTACAAGTGGTCGTGTCTATACATCTCGTCACGTACAATTTGTGGAAACAAGTTTTGGGTTTTCCTCGCCGGTTACGTCTGTGGAAGCATCACCACCGTGCATTCATGACGTCGATCCGGTCCGTGTGTTGCCTTCGCCGTTAGCTCATTCCTTGTCGCCCCCGTCTCTGGCTCCTTCACCGCCGGTCACGTCGTCCTCATCGTCAATGCATCCCTCGTCCTCACACTCACCTGCTCCATTGTCGTCTACCTCTGTTTTTCAAAATCCAGAACATCACGATCAACAAATGGGCTCAGCAAATTCAGGCCCAGCAACTCCAAGCCCATCTTCTTCAAATCAGCCCACTCCAAATCTCGGCCCATCTCCACAGTCTTCCCCTTTGTCCCCAACTTCGTCGACTCCATCTTCCTCCCAAAACTCATCTCCCACAAATTCTCCCAGAAACTTAAACACCTCACCACAAATCCAACCTATTCCCGAACCACCACAAATACAACCGCCTCCCGAACCACCGCTACCTCCACAAAATATCCACCCAATGACAACCCGAGCTAAGAACCAAATTACCAAACCAAAAGCCAAAATGAACCTTATGGCCACAACAACACCAACCATACCGACGACAGCGGCTCAAGCGCTTAAAGATCCTAATTGGAGAAGGGCAATGTGTGAGGATATAGATGCACAGCTTCGTGAACGAACGTGGGATGTGGTTCCTCCACAGCCTTCGAAAAATGTCATAACATGTAAGTGGATTTTTACCCTTAAATATAAACCTAACGGTTCTATTGAAAGGTACAAGGCGAGATTGGTTGCACGGGGATTCAACCAACAGTACGGCATCGACTACTCCGAGACATTCAGTCCGGTAATAAAGTCAACGACAGTCCGCATTGTTCTTGAAGTGGCTGTGAAACGAGGTTGGAGTATACACCAAGTTGATATCAACAATGCATTTTTACAAGGCACACTTGAGGATGAGGTTTATGTCACTCAACCTCCTGGATTTGTTGATCGTGATCGTCCTACTCATGTTTGTCGATTGAACAAGGCTCTTTATGGTTTAAAACAAGCTCCAAGGGCGTGGTATCAAGAACTTCGAACGTTTCTGCTCAACAATGGCTTCACAAATTCTCTATCAGATACCTCGTTGTTCACCTACAAGCGAGGGAGTGATCTTTTATATGTGCTGGTTTATGTCGATGACATAATTATTACGGGGTTGTCGTCTCTTGTTAAAACCTTCAATACCTCACTTGCTGCTCGTTTCTCCCTCAAGGATCTGGGTCCCCTTAGTTATTTCTTGGGTATAGAAGCTACTCGCACACAGAGAGGGTTACATTTGATGCAACGGAAGTATATAACTGATTTATTGGCTCGCTCGAATATGCAAGATGCACATCCAGTCCCCACGCCAATGACAGAGTCTCCACAGCTCACGCTACATATGGGGAAGCCACTAGCTGATCCGAAGAAGTATCGTATGGTCATTGGTAGCCTCCAATATTTGTCTTTTACAAGACCAGATATTGCATTTGCGGTTAATCGCTTATCTCAATATATGCATCAACCGACTGATGTACATTGGCAGGCTGCCAAGAGGGTGCTACGGTATCTTGCGGGTACGAAGTCACATGGTATATTCATTCGTTCGGATTGTCCTCTCACAGTTCATGCGTTCTCCGACGCGGATTGGGGCGGTGATGTAGGCGATCGTGTATCCACCAACGCATACATTGTATATTTTGGGGGAACACCGATCTCATGGTCATCTAAAAAGCAGAAAAGTGTCGCTCGCTCTTCGACAGAGGCTGAATACCGTGCTCTTGCGAATGCTGCTTCAGAACTCCAATGGATATGCTCTCTTCTAACTGAATTGGGAATAACGTTACCAACAGTACCAGTGATTTATTGTGATAATATGGGAGCTACGTATCTATGTGCGAATCCGGTTTTTCACTCACGGATGAAGCACATTGCGATTGATTATCATTTTGTTCGTGGTCATATACAATCTGGTGCTTTAAGGGTTGCTCACATCTCCACAGAAGATCAATTGGCGGATGCATTAACCAAGCCTCTGCATCGTTTTCGATTTCATGCTCTTAATAACAAGATTGGCGTCCAGTCACTGGCTCCATCTTGAGGGGGTGTATAAAGGAGAGTAGTATAGAAGGTTACAAATGTAATTAGTTAATCACTAAACCTAAGACTGAACCTATATATATGTTGTAAATCATGTTAATAAAATCATATCATTCAGTCCAACTTAATAAATACAAGTTAACTTGTTACCGCACGAAGATTAAACTGTAAATATTTTGGATGGTTTAATAATCAATGGTAGAATTCTTGATTAGGCGACTTCTTGGTTTTCTTGATTCAAGACTGAAATTGTGGTTCGATGATAATATAATCAAATTATCAAACACAAATTGTATTAGAAATCATCATGTATATATTAATTTTGTTTTGGTTAGATATGTACAAAATGTATAGTCATTAGTGGCCTAAAATGTTAAGAATTGAGACTCTATATTTGATCATTGACTTGGAAAGAGATTCAAGTCCATCTTCAAGATCTTGAATGCATGACTCTAGGACCTGAACGTCTTCCATCTTCAAGGTCTTTTCAGATTGAAATTCAGAGTCAACTCTTGTGAATTCATTTGCTTGTGTCTCACTTGAAACCTTCTTCTTGTTCATTAGCTTTGAGACGAGAGACCATTTGTCACAAGTCTTTGATCCAGACATGAAGGAGAACAAGTATTCAAAAAGAGCCATTGTAACAGCTTCTGCTTCTCCAAACATAGTAAGAGATTTTTCGTTGCATTCTTGATCTTGTTTGATTTTCAAACTCTTGAGAACCCTTTGGAATGACTTCTTGAGGGATCTTCTTGTGGCTAAGTATTTCTTGACCTCTCCAGAAAGATCTCCGCGCTTTCTTCGAAGAATTGATTGGATCTCCATGAGACCCTCTTTCATCTGCGACAAAGCATCCTTGGAGATGTTGCACAAATCCAAGATCCTGAGAGATCCATCAAGAAGCTGTTCAACGGTTTTCTTATTCTGCTCTTGAGCTAAAGCTTGTTGGGTCATTGGTAGGCGGATAAGCTTGTCGAGAGACTCGTGTAGCTCTTGAATGTTGTCAAGTCTTTGACAGATATAATAGCTTGAAGATGTTGAGGCTTCTTCAGAAGATCTTAAACGAGACAACTGCTCATCGACATGAGAAGCTTGTGGGTGAGGTCTAGAAGGGAAACTGTTAGAGCGAACGTGGAAAGATGAAGCCATTTTTTTCTTAATCTTAAATCCTTTGTTGTTGATCAAATAGAAATGTTGAGAGCTAAGATGTTTCTTCTGGCTTCTCATTGCCTCTAAGCTCATTACTTATATACATCATCAAGAAAGAGAGACATATGAGGAATCTCTTGCTGCATATAGAATTATTATATTTAATCATGAACATTAATGTCTGTGCAATGTTCCCTCTATGCAATAAAGATTTAACTCAGATCTCAAAAAATGAATGTGCACAGTCGACTTTGCAACGCGTTGGCATAGTTTACGGAAAAGCCAGTGTGGCTTGTCTCAATGGGAAAAGATGATAACAGCACTATTCTTGCATGATCAACCATGGCAAAAACCTTGGATCTTGTCTGCCTTCTACACAACAGTCACATGCTGTTACACGGTTACTACAGAGTTGAGTAGATAAAAAAAATTTTTAAAAGAGTAAAGACACCTTGAGGTTATAAAATGCCTTGTGAGCTATACATAAAGTATAGTTTTTGCCATGTGCTTCTGTAATATGTTATTTCAGTCTCTTAATCCTAACTTTAATATAGTAACCAAAGAAGTAATTGTGAGCAAATTAGTCTGTTCTCATATGTCTACACATCCGAGAAACTATTGTTCTTTATTAGCTAGTAATTGGTTACCTTTAAGCCATGAGTTTCAATGTGACAAAAGCCATAAAATGATCAAGTATACTATCACTTGCAGTTTCTTGAATCTTGTTCGTAGCTATTACGCAAAGGTACTTCTGTGTGTATTCTTGGAAACCCTAGCAAGTTATTATTGGGCAGAACAAGAGCAAACTTGAATCAACACCCAAGAAAAAAAACCTAACTCTTTGTCTTCCCCAATCAAACCACAAGCAAGGAACTAATACATGCAGCATCTAGTTTTGACCCATCTTCAAGATCTTGAATGGGTGACTCAAGAGTCATTTCTAAGATCTGCACATGCACTGATGCAGCATATCATCTATCTTCAAAGAGCAAAGGATTGTAGCATTGAGCAAAACATTTCGTTTCTACAGTGTTCTCTCCATTACTGGTTTATCAACTCAGAGATCAATGACTTTGAAACTCACAACATGCAAAACAGAGTACCAAACAGAGAGGAGCAATAGTTATGGCCTTCTGCTTCTCCTTAACGTAGCCAAAGACGTGTTGTTCTTTCAGTACCATAAACACTTCTCCACTGCATTAGAAAACCCTTCGAGTTTTGTTATCAACCATAGCTGCCACCATTTTCTCTCTTTTTTGTTTTCCTTTCGTTTTTTTTGGTAATCAAAAAAAGACCTACGAGAACTCAAGATGCTTCATGCATGAACCATTTTGTTCAATACATATATACCATGAGAAAGATATCATCATTTGCCATCTTTATTGTTATGTTGGCACCAAAAGACTCCGATGTTTATGCAATGTTCCCCTTCTAGCCGAAGTCCCATATGCACAATCCACTATAGTTGTCTCCTTGTAAGGAGATAATAAAAGCCATATTTCATGTATTTTTTCACTCTCAAAACCACATGAGCCTATAAGAAAATTCCGAGAAATCGGAATTTTGCAGGGAAGGAGACAGACAAGATCCGGAATGCATATGAGGAAATCCAAGTTGGATGACAAATTTGCTAGGGTGGCTATATTAGTTTGAAAGATAATGCATGTGATAATATCTGAATCATATCTTTCTTTCATATATATTATGAGTCATGGAATGTGTTTGGAGGGAGACATTGCATAAACATCGGTCTATATGATCACAATGATTCCACATGTTTCTCTTCCTTGATCGATGGTTGTATATATGCAGTGGTGAGAGACGCAGAGAAAGCATAACAGACAATCTTCTCTTGATTTTAAACTTAAATCCAAAAATAAAAGCTATGTAAGAAATGGCAGTCTCATTCCATTTTCGCTAATCGATTCTTAGAAGAAAGCGTGGAGATTTGTCGAGCGAAGTGAAGAAATATTTAGCCTTGAGAAGATCCAATAAGAAGATCAGTACAAAAGTTAACAAAAGACTTTTATAGAACAAGATCAGTACTACAACGACTTTGGCTTGTCTTAGAAACTGTCACAATTTCTCTGTTTTATTCTATGCTATGCTACATGTCTTCATCAAAATCTTGTGACAAATGGTCATTGGTCTGAGAGCTAATGAACAAGAAAAATGTCTCATACGAAGCGCAAACAAACGAATTCACAAGACGACTGCAGATGATGATTTTTTCATGCATTCAAGATCTTGAAGATGTCGTTCCGGATTAGGCTTGGACACTTTTGTACACAAAACAAATATCAATACAAATGAATACAAGATTTATTCGTTCATTTCACTATGTTATCTACTTTTCTTTCATATTTTGAGTATGTGTCATTTACCATGAAAGAACTAAGACGTTTCAAGAAACAAGAACATAGAATCTGAAATATTTTGATAATTCACTAGTCTTTCTCTGTTTAGTAATCTTGGTTCAAACATAGTGAGCAATCTTGGAACTGAAGTTTGGTGGACTCAAGCTAAAAACAGAACTTGTTACGGTAAGAAACGTAAACTAAGAAATTTGGGATTATTGAAAAGACAATAGTAAATGTGTTATTTAAAATTACTGTTGTTTTCTTGGTTCTGGATTGAACTTGTTCTTGGATGATAAATTGGTAATAGAATAAATCACACAAAAGCATAGGAGGAATCTTGAATTAGTTTTTATTAAATTTTCTTCAGTATGTGTACAAAATTTATAGCCATTAATGGCCTAAGATGTTAAGGATTGAGACTCTGTATTTAATCAAAGACTTAGAGAGAGATTCAAGTCCATCTTCAAGATCTTGAATGCATGACTCTAGGATCTGAACATCTTCCATCTTCAAGGTCTTTTCTGATTGGAATTCGGAGTCCACCTTTGCGAATTCGTTTGCTTTTGCTTCACATGAGACCTTCTTCTGGTTTATTAGCTTTGAGACCAATGACCATTTTCCACAAGCCTTTGATCCAGACATGAAGGAGAAGAGAGAATCAAAAAGGTTCATTGTAATAGCTTCAGCTTCTCCAAAAACTGCCAAAGAGTCGTCGTTACATTCTTGGTCTTGCTTGACCTTCAAACTCTTGAGGACCTTTTGGAATGACTTCTTGAGGCATCTTCTTGAGGCTAAGTATTTCTTAATCTCTCCAGATAAATCTCCGCGCTTTCTTCGAAGAATCGATTGGATCTCCATGAGACCCTCTTTCATCTGAGACAAAGCATCCTTGGAAACGTTGCACATATCCAAGATCCTGAGAGATCCATCAAGAAGCTGCTCAACGGCTTTCTTGTTCTGCTCCTGGCTTAGAGCATGTTGTGTAACAGGTAGACGAATAAGCTTGTCAAGAGACTCGTGTAGATCCTGAAGGTTGTCAAGTTTCTGGCAGATAGAAGAGCTGGAAGATGTTGAGGCTTCATCACAAGATCTTAGTCGAGCCAACTGCTCATCAACATGAGCAGCTTGTGGGTGAAGTCTAGAGGGAAAACTGTTAGATCGAACATGGAAGGAGACTGCCATTTTTGTTGATCTTTAACTTCTCTATTGTAGATCAAAGAGAAGATGTTGAGAGAGCTTTAAGATGTTTCTTCTGTCTTCTCAATGCTTCTCCTAACAATACTTATATATACACCAGCATGAGAGAGCTATGTAAGGTTAAAAAAATTGAAAACATTAATGCAAATGTTCCCCTTCTAAGGTGGCAAAAAGCATCTTATCTCTAATATAGAAATAAAATATCACCTTTCAAATTTCCTAAGGCATTGAGATGCGCATCGTTGCATGGGTGCTTATTTAAAAAACCATGAACGAAAGCTGGCTTTGTCTGCTATTGAAATGCCAAGCCATTCGTGCAGATCTCATCCTTATCATCTCAACATTTCTTTAAAAGAGAAGAATAATTAATTTGCCCTCGTTTGTAGTGTTAATTCAAGAACACAATGTGGCAAAAGACAAGGCATAGACAATGCTGATTCAAGAATGTGATTCCCAAGTATTAAAATCACGTTGAAAATGCCGTAGTTTATCAAGAAACCATGTTATGTGATTTAATGTGAAGTGTAAGAAAAAATATTATAATTGTTACTCTTAAATCTTTAATCTTGTAAAATACTTATTGATCCACATGAGTTAGCCATATGATTTACACGCATGCATTATGCTTATAATTTAATCAAGAAATCTATATTAAAACAACTATGTTAATAATGGCGGTTTCTGGTGGAGTATAAGATCCATACCATAGCCGTAGATAAAGGCATGTGAACAAATGTGGATGTTAAGAGATAGAGAGGTTAACTAAACATGAATATGCAAAACAATTAAACTATATATGGTTCATCAATATAAGATTAAACTATAAATTTCAAGGGTCAAAAGATGTTTGGGTGTCTAAACATTCCGTAATAAAGAAGTGGGTGGAGGAACACAAGTTTCAGTTTGGGTGTCTTCTTGAAACAAGGGTTAAGGAGAAGAAAGCGCAGTGGTTAGGAGACCAGTTATTTCATGACTGGTCCATGTTAACAAATTATGAATACAATAGACGTGGTAGAATATGGGTGTTATGGAGGAGCGATGTACGATTAACTCCATTTTATAAAAGTAGTCAAGTTGTCACATGTTCGGTGAAGCTTGATGACCAAGAGGAAGAATTTTTCTGCTCTTTTGTGTATGCATCTAATGGGGTAGAGGAAAGGAAAGAGCTTTGGAGGGAGTTAAAGGCTCACCACGACTCTCCTATTTTCAGAAATAAACCTTGGATGCTAATGGGCGATTTCAATGTCACTTTAGATATGAATGAACATTCTAGAGTGGAGATCACCCCGGAAGTCACCTCAGGCATGCGTGATTTTCAAACAACAGTGGGCGACTGCTCTTTGTTTGATATGTTATCTCATGGCCCTCTCTTCACGTGGTGTAATAAAAGAGAAGAAGATCTTATATTAAAAAAGTTAGATCGGGTGTTGGTGAATAATGACTGGTTGAGGGTTTTTCCGCAAGCATATAACGTGTTTGAAGCTGGGGGGTGCTCGGATCATTTAAGATGCCGGATAAAGACTACTACCGAGAGTAACACAATCCATGGCCGTAAACCGTTTAAATTTGTCAATGTGTTAACAGAAATGGAGGGTTTTCCAACTGTGGTTGATTCATTTTGGAAGGGTACTGAAGCTCTTTTCCTGTCCACTTCCACTATGTTTCGATTCTCAAAAAAGCTAAAAGGGTTAAAGCCTCTGCTAAGGCAGCTGGCTAAAGAGAGATTGGGTTCGTTGGTGAAAAAATCGAAGGAGGCATATGATTTTTTATACCAAAAGCAAGAGGCCAACTTGCAACAACCTACGCCACTTACTATGGAGGAGGAGAATAGTGCATTTAGTCGATGGGAGTTTATTGCAGGACTTGAGGAGAAATTTTTAAAGCAAAGATCTAAGCTTCATTGGCTCCATGTGGGAGACAAAAATAATAAAATTTTTCATCGTGCTGCTGCAGCTCGTAAGGCAAAAAACACAATTAAAGAGGTGAAATGTGCAGATGGGAGACTGGTTACAACAAAGGATGAGGTAAAAATTGAAGCCGAGAGACATTTTAGGGAGTTTATGCAGGAGATTCCAAGTGACTATGAGGGTGATACGGTGGAAGAGCTGCAACACTTGTTAAAATTTCGTTGTTCCGGGCTGGACAAAGATTGGCTCATCCGGACAGTGACGGGAGAAGAAATTAAAAAGGTCTTGTTCTCGATGCCAAATAATAAATCTCCAGGACCCGATGGCTACACGGCTGAGTTTTACAAAGCTACATGGGGGACTATTGGTCAAGAATTTGTGCTTGCAGTTCAGTCTTTCTTTGCTAAGGGTTTTCTTCCAAAAGGTATTAACTCCACTATCCTAGCTCTTATCCCAAAGAAGTTGGGAGTATGTGAAATGCGAGATTACCGCCCCATCTCATGCTGTAACGTCTTATATAAAGTCATATCTAAGATCATTGCGAATAGGCTAAAGAAAATGCTGCCAAAGTTTATTTCTGGAAATCAATCCGCTTTTGTTCAAGATCGTCTCTTAATCGAGAATGTGTTGCTTGCTACGGAGTTAGTTAAAGATTATCATAAGGATTCAATTTCTGGGAGATGTGCTATTAAGATTGACATCTCTAAAGCATTCGATACCGTTCAATGGTCTTTCTTAACTAAAGCTCTCGTTGCTATGGACTTCCCTCCCTCTTTTATACATTGGATATCGCTTTGTATCTCTACGGCTTCTTTTTCGGTGCAAGTTAATGGTGAACTGGCTGGTTATTTTAGAAGCTCAAGGGGGTTAAGACAAGGTTGCTCGCTGTCCCCTTATTTATTTGTCATTTGTATGGATGTTTTGTCAAAGATGCTTGACAAGGCTGCAGGTGCGAACTGTTTTGGATACCATCCGCGATGTAAGAATCTCAACTTGACCCATTTAAGCTTTGCAGATGACTTAATGGTTCTTTCGGATGGGAAAGTAAGATCAATTGATGGTATTGTGGAAGTTTTTACTGCTTTTGCTAAGAAATCAGGTCTCAAGATCAGTATGCCAAAATCTACATTGTATCTTGCTGGAACGTCGGAGGCAGCTCGTATACAAATCGCCCATCGCTATCCTTTTACAGTGGGTCATCTTCCGGTTCGTTATTTGGGACTTCCTTTGGTTACGAAACAGCTCTCATTAGCAGATTGTTGCCCTCTACTTGAGAAGATTAAGGCAAGGATTGGTTCTTGGACTGCTCGTTATTTATCTTATGAATTTGATCAGCTCCATTCTTTGGAGTACATGTAACTTCTGGCTGGGAGCGTTTCGTCTCCCGAAAGCGTGTATCTACGAACTTGAAAAACTATGCTCTGCTTTTCTTTGGTCCGGAGCAGATATGAATCCACACAAAGCAAGGATCTCGTGGGACAAAGTTTGTAAACCAAAGGCTGAGGGTGGACTAGGCTTAAGGTCTCTTCATGAAAGCAATAATGTGAGCTGTCTCAAGCTGATTTGGCGGATTGTCTCCCATAGTGAGTCACTCTGGGCTTCTTGGGTTTCAACGACTCTTCTAAAAAATACTTCCTTCTGGTCGGTTAAGGAAAACACAAGTAAAGGATCTTGGATTTGGAGAAAGTTGTTAAAATATCGACATGTAGCAAAGGATTTGTGTAAGATACAAGTGAGGAATGGGCAGAGAACGTCTTTTTGGTACGATAATTGGTCGAGGCTGGGTTATCTAGTTGACATTACGGGAGAACGAGGGTTTATTGATATGGGAATTGGTAAAGGAAGCACAGTCGCGGAAGCTTGGACTCGGCGCAGACGGAGACATCGGGTTGGCCATCTTTTGTCAATCGAAGAAGAACTAAACCTCTCTTTCCAAAACAGAGGCGCCATGGCTGATGCTGTGGTTTGGCGAGGAAAAAATGGTGACTTCAAGCCCCGGTTTTCAACAAAGGAGACTTGGAATCATATTAGAACATCAGGGAGTTTAGTCAGTTGGTCTAAGGGGGTGTGGTTTGCTCACGACACTCCAAAGTATAGCTTCTGTGTGTGGCTAGCAGCTCAAGATAGACTTCCCACGGCTGCTCAAATGGCTACATGGAATGGCAATTCAGCGGGTACTTGTATGCTCTGTTTCTCTCACTTGGAAAGCAGGGATCATTTGTTCTTCGAATGCTCTTATGCTGCTGAGGTGTGGGAGGCGACTGCAAAGGTACTTTTCCATACTCATTATTCGACTAATTGGTCAATGCTCTTAGCGTTCATCTCTTTGCCTCACAAGGATCATATTGATGCTTTTCTTTTACGATATGTGTTTCAAACTGTTGTCTACACAATATGGAGAGAACGAAATGGACGTCTCCATGGAGATGCTTCTCATACGACTGCAACAATCATAAGTTGGGTTGATAGGCAAGTTAAAAATCAGCTCCAAACAATTAGAAGATCGGGTGATCGAAGATATGACGAGGGGTTCCAAAGATGGCTTCAAGCACGTTCATAATCAGTTGATTAAGATTTGCTCTGGGGAATTGTAATCTTTTTTAAGTATATTTTTAAAATAACGTTGCACTTGTTGTAAAAACGTAAATTTTTATTTTGAATATAATTTAACAATTTAACATTTTATTCAAAAAAGTTTGATGTTTGTTCAGTGTGTCAAGGGTCAAGTAAAATTCAACTTAAAACTAGTAAACACTCAAGGTGATTCTGATATTACTTTGGTCTTATGTCTTCTCTTGTCCAAGTCTTTACCCTTGAAAATTATAGCCATTCAAGATTTTATAAAAATTGGAAATCCTAAAAGATTGGGAATATTTGAGAGACACTTTTATATTAGTTTCTTGTTTTTTTTTTTGGTGAAAAGTTTCTTTAGTTATTTAGTAACAAATAAGAGACTGATTTTAAATATAAAATATGTAAATTTCTTAGAAAACAAATAAAGAAATTAAAAAAAGAAAATTGAGGTGGAAATGGAAGGCTGAATTTTGAAAGATAAAAAAAAAAAAAAATCTTCATTATTTTTTATTTTTGGCTGGAATTAGTAAAGTGTCAAATTTCAAAACATTTTGATTCAATGACAAATTTCCATAATGACAAATTTCCATAATAGTTTCATTACATTTATCTTGGAAAATGGAGAGTAAACTATACTCCATTTGTTTCTTTTTAAGTAATGTTTAAGCTTATTATACAAAGATTAAGAGACATATAATTTTTCTTTTTTCTATAAAAATACCATTAAATAAAATAAATTCAACCAATAAGAAAATATGATGTATGATATGATTGGTTAAAATTTATTAAATACATTTACTATTTGTTTTCAAAATTGAAAACATCATTTAAAATGAAACAAATCTTTTGGGCTAAAACATTATTTAAAAAGAAACGGAGAGAATAGTTATTTAGTGAAATCGTGCTATCACCCTTTCTAAAAATTCAACATGATTAATGTGTTTTCCCATATGTCACACATCTTCTCAAGAGTCCCACCCATAATTAAAAATTAAAATGATCGATGATGAAAGTAGACGACTAATTCAAAATGAAAATTCACTACAAGATCCTTATTTATTCATCGATTATGACAAGTGAATATGCACACGAAGACTTTAAAGGTCTATTGCTAAAATTTCTTGTAGTACCATTTATATTGTTTCCCACTATATATTCAAAATTATGTGACTCATGTTTTCTTATTTGACACACAGCTTTCTCTGTCTCAAAGATATATTCAGACAGACAAGTTTAACAATTTTTCAAATCATTATTAACGTAAATTTGTTTTTATCATGAAGTTATTATAAACTGTTAAATGAAGAACTACATTATGAGTCTTGAATATATTTCTATTAATAATTCCGTTTTGTACTAATTAAACTTTGTAGGGCATTAGTGGCCTAAGAGGCTAAGATGTTAATTAAGGATTAAGACTCTGTATTTGATCAAAGACTTAGAGAGAGAGACTCAAGTCCATCTTCAAGATCTTGAATGCATGACTCTAGGATCTGAACATCCTCCATCTTCAAAGTCTTTTCAGATTGGAATCCCAAGTCAACCATTGTGAATTCGTTTGCTTGTGCATCAGTCATCACATGGAAATTTCTTCTTGTTCAATATTAGCTTTGAGACGACTGACCATTTGTTACACGTCTTTGATGTAGACATAGAGAATCAGACAGAAGCAATTGTGGCAGCTTCTGCTTCTCCAAATACTAACAAGGATATGTCACTGAACTCCTTGTCTTGTTTGACCTTCAGGATCTTTTGGAATGACTTCTGGATAGATCTTCTTGAGGCTAAGTATATCTTGATAGTTTCACCGCGCTTTCTTCGTAGAATCGATTGGATCTCCATGAGACTCTCTTTCATCTGAGACAATATGCATCCTTGGGAATGTTGCACAAATCCAAGATCCTGATAGATCCATCAAGAAGCTGCTCAAAGCTGCTTTTGTCTTCTATTGAAGGCAATATACACTCGTATACATCTCAAGCCTAATGTTAAAGGAATGTGCCATATAATTAAGTCTCCGTAGATCATGGCATGTTCACAAATACACAATGAATTGTTTAACTCTTATTATTGCATACAACCGTGTGGATGCTCAGAGATGTCACATGCATGATATCTTATATAATAAGACAAGGTTTTTCCTAACTTTGCCTCACAACGCGACATTTGGCGCTCTATATTCATGACATGTGTCATTTTTATTAAATTCTAATTTAACATTTTAAAATTATTTTATTTGTGATATTGTGTTGTAAGTTATAAGATATGTATTGTTTGCTTTTAAAAAAGTGTCATTGTGGCAAAAAAAAACATTTTCTCCAATTTTAGTTTCTATTTAAATTAAATATCATATAAGCTAAACATAAAATGGAGCAGTTAAATTTTTTTTCTTTGTATTCAAAGAAAATTGGTATGAGTTTTTTCTTTAAGATTAAAATTCAGAAATAACATCAAAATTTCCTCCTCATTTTAAAGTATTTTTCAAAGTTATTAATATGGGTAATAAATTATTTATAACATGTTTTTATAATTTTTGAAAAATAAGTTTATAATAAAATAATTAACAAAATTTTTTTTTTTTACTTTATCATGGTGAAATCTATGGTAAATAATGAAATTAGAGAAAGTTAGATTTGTTCAGTATGATAAAATAGTACATCTAAATTATTTAGAGAAAGTAACTATTTAACCAAAAAATATTCTATTATTTAATTTACTATTATTTAATTTAGAAAACAAAATTTATTTAATTTACTATTATTAAACAGTTGAGAGAGGAAACACAGTCTAATAGAATATAATATCATGAAATTTAATCAAAGAATAATTATCATATTCTTCACAAATCATATATATATAAATAAAGTTTCACTATCTTCTTATTAGTTCACTTGGCATGTAACTTAAAAAAAATATTATGTATTATATATATATATATATATATTTAAGGGGGAATTTCAAAAATACCCCTTTTCATATACCTCTTTTTAAAAATACCCCATTTTCAAACTTTATCAAAAAACCCACTAAAAATGTTGAAATTTATCCAAATATGTGTGTAACCTTATAAATATATACACAAATTAC